CCACTGGAGATACGTAGCTCCGCGGACCACCCAACCTCGCCCCCCTCTGCCAGCATACCTGGCGCCCAGCACCCCGCCCAGCATGTTGACCAGCAGCACCACCGCCATAAAAGCGAGCGTGAATCGCATGCTGAGCATGGTGGAAGGCATCAGCCGCACTGCAACTCAAGAGCAAATCAAATGTCGGGCTGACGACCTTCTCAACGCAACTCCCTTGAAATCGTCACTTGATTCTTGAGTTGAATGTGGTTGAACTAGAAGCGCGGAACACTTGAGAGGAGCGTGCTGGCAGGGAAGTTCAGGTCTTTGCGGGTTGAGCCTTACTCATGGAAGGAACCTGCACAACCCATCTCGATTTCTATAAGATGCGCTACCCAAGGTTAAAAGGTCCATACAGGGCCTGCGTGTGGGCAAAGAGGCTCTGGTGGGAGTAACCCACTAGAACAGTGGCCCGGCAGGTCACATGTGTTCATATCATGTCATCAAGCCTGGCGCTTCAATTTCATCAGGGAGGCTGTTGAGGATCCAGCCCTCCCTTCACAAGGAATCGGCGGCCGAGTATATCTGTACTTGAGAGTGAACGCCTCGAACGCTAAATCGCCTGTGGGTGTCAGCACCAAGATTTCAAGGTGACACCCTGGGGGGCTGGAGACGTATCATAAGCGCAGGATGACACCCCAACCACTGATAGGGGCGGAGGTCATTTCGTATGTCTGGCCACGGTTGTTTGGAAGGAGCAAAAACAGTGCTTGTTAACAGACAGGCCCAGTCACCCAGGGGCGCCTACTGGGCGGCAAGAAGCGCCACGGTCCTCGGCGACGTGCACCCAGACCCTGAAGGAGCCAGGGGCCCGAGGCGGCGGCCCGAGGCGGCTCGAGACGAGCAGCAGGCATGCCAAGGGACGCCTTGCCCCAAAGGAGCAACGCTTTCCGGCCCCCGAGCGCCACAACCACCAGCCCTCCTGGCGCCCTCATGCTCATGGCATCCCAGGAGTCCCGTGCATACTGCACCATACACTCTTAACCGACAAAGTCTTCATCAACCGACGGCCACAGCTTAAGGCTTGAGACAGCGCTGGGCGAACTCGTCGTCACCTACCGCATATAGGCTACACAGCCGCCAACAGCGCTCTGGCTATATGAGATGGCCTTGTTGGGGGTGGCCACCGCCGCACCACGGTGCTGCTGTTGCGCATGCTGGTTTCAACGTCTTGGTTGTGGTGACTGTTGCCATTGAATCATTGAATTTGTGGACGTTGCTATTCTGAGTGAGCTTGTGTACTAGGCCCACATTGTGTTGTTTTGCTGCCGTGTGATGATTGCATTATTGGTCTGCAGTTTTACGTTGTGGGGACCGAGGGCGGAGCCGGAGTGGATGTCGCCGAGGGTGGCGCCTTGCGTGCTGCCAGGGCTGGCCGCTTGCAGCCAGGACGCTCGCACGGCCTGTCTTCTGAGAGCATGTCGCCTGCAGCATCAAAGCCTCTGCGATGCACTGCACAACACACGGCGAGTACAGTAGCGGGCGGCAGCTGGCCCCCGAGGCGGACGGCCAGGCCCACTTCCAGCAGACTGACGGGGCAGCTGAGGGATGCGAGGGCGGTGCCTCGCTAGCTTCCAGGTCGTAAGCGCTGCGGAAACCGGATTGGCTACGCCTTGTTTTCGACCTTCCCTTGCGTAGCCTTGTGCTTCCAGAGGCCGTACAGGCACCAGGCGCGGCGCACGTCATCCCAGCAGCTGTTGCTTGCATCCCAGCCCTGTCTGCGTGGGTCAGGCAGCCCAGCAGCACCAGGCTCATTGACTCACAGAGATTTCAACGACATGTGTGTGACACCATCACGACCAGAAGAAGGCTGTGATGCAGCCTGTTAAATTCGCGTGCCAAGGAGCACTGACAATCAATAACGAGCTGATCTCAGAATGTCTGGTCAGGGGATGGCCCCGTGCAGGCCAAGGGTTGACGAAAGAGAGGCAGCCGTCTGTCTATGGTACATGCATGATGGAGGAATACACGGGTCGGTCCTTCGCCCAGGCCGCATCGCCGCCCATGTTGCTCCCGTGTCTGCCAACGCCAGCTCGCCGCATCACGGGGCGAAACCACCGCCGCCCGTGCTGCCATCGCCGCCGCCTCCACCACCACCCGCCGCGCCGCCGCCGCCGCTGCCGCCGTCACCGCTGCCGCCGCCGCCGCCCTGGTCGCGCTTGAGCGCCGCCACGGCCGCCATCGCCGCGAGCACCTTGCGCTGCTTCTGCAGCCGCGCGATGCCCGCGCGCAGGCGGCCCGCCACCGACGCCGACTCGAGCAGCGCCTGGCGCCCCTCCCCCGGGTGCAGGCCCAGCAGCGAGGCCAGCGCGAAGGAGAAGCGCGCCGCGCGGCGCAGCGGCGGCAGCAGCGGGTCGGCGTGGACGTCCAGCCCGTCGGACGCGGAGTAGGTGTAGCCGCCGCCATGATTGCTGCTGCTGCTGCTGCTGCTGCTGCTGCTGCTGCTGCTGCTGCTGCTGCTGCTGCTGCCGCTGCTGCTGCTGCTGCTGGAGGCGTCGCCGCCGCCGCCATCGCGCCAGGACGCACCCCCCTGCTGCGCCCGGCCCCCGCCGTGCGGCGCCGTCGCTGCCGGCGGCGGCCGCAGCTGCAGCAGCCCGTACGGCAGCGACGGCCGCTGCCCCCGCACCCGCAGCATCAGCGCCGCCGCCGCGTCCAGCTCGCCCCAGGCCGCGGCCTCCAGCGCCAGGATCTCCGCGAGCGCGCGCGCGGCCGGCCCG